GTTCATGCTGGTTCACATCTGATACTCCTAGATGAAACATAAGATTCTTGTCTCATAACAGGCTTACTCAATGTGATACAAGCTACAAAAGTGAGATCTTGGAAGAATGTTGTTGTTTTCATAATGTAATAAAAATACTGTAATGATAAATAATAATTAATAATAAATAGTGTGTAATAAGCATGTCATAAAAACAAATTTTATATTTCCAAGATCACTGCTGTTATAATTTATACTCAGATAAAGGAGAAAATCCCTGGAAATATTCGTTTTTCGGAGGGGGTTCGTGAGACTTGACATTTTAATGAAAGGGGTTCACATGTTGTTAAAGTTTGGGAACCACTGGTCTAGGACTATGTCCACATTGCTTCAAGTCCCCATTTGACACAATTGTTAAGAACTCCATCTATAAGGTAGTGAATAAGTAACTGGAGACCGTTCATTGATTTGCAAATAATGTCACTTTCAGAATCATGGAAACTTTCTTTCTTCTTGTGGCTTTCCCATTCCACTTCTTGCATGGCTGCCAGGCAGGTAAACAGAATTCCACCTAATCAGTATGTTGGTTTTTTTTTTTAAAAGGCCATGGAAAGCTAGTCTAATTAAAGCCAGAATTTTCAAACATGGATGTTTACAGTTAGCCACCTAAATCCATATTTAGGAACATGAAACATTACCCTGATTTTCAGAGCCTTTAAAACAAGTCCAGTAATCTGTGGTGTTTTCCTATTCAACATTATTTTGCACATAAGAGACCATCTAAACATGGCATTGTGTGGTTCTAAATGTGTCTCCCTAAGACTTCCAGACTTAGTTTGCTCAGCTTACAAGTCAAAAGATGATTTCCTAACAGCTGGCTCTGAAAACACAATCTGGGATCTGACAGCCCAGCAGCACTGGTATGTCCACCCTATCATCAGTAATAAAGGTTTGGACGTTGGAAGATATCTGGCCTTTTCTGTCATAGCAGAAAGCCAATGTGAGTGCTCCAGGAAGAAGAAAATTACCTGATGAACTTCAAGAGTGGGTGTCACATTCTGGGATGCAATGCAGAGCAGTAAGGGACTGTGTCACTGCCTGCCCTGTAACACTAGGTGCCTAAAATGCACTGCTGTTGTGGCTCACAGCCTTGGCACCAACAAACACCAGACAAGCATGCAGTATCCTGAGGGTCTGTGTGCTGTGCGGCCCAGGTTCAGCGATCTGACCCAACCGCCTGCTTACAACTTAACAGCCCCACCCTGATTTCCACCAGACTCAGTTACTACTTGCTGGGTGACCCCAACAGACTCCCAGTCCCGAATTTTCCCCAAACCATCTGCCCTGAAGAGTCCAACCCTCTCCTGGATCACTCAGAAAAATAATAATGTTTCTTTTGATCATTTAATGAGACAAAAGCACATTGATTTAACTTAACTGGGTAAATACATCCTTCCCTTCAAGCACAGCACTGAATTGGTTTATGGTAAAAATAAAACAAGTTTAGTAACACAAAAATATAGGTTCAGTGATACCAACTAGATGGAATAAAGTCACAAAGGATTACAGACAAACAAGAGTAAAAATACCCTTTGTAGTGTAAATACCCTTAACAATCTACAGCCTTGATTTGAGGTAGATTTCTTACCAATCTTTCTCTTTCAAGCCACTTGCTGTCTCTCAGTCAGGACCTTCCACAGAAATACAAGGTGCTGGTTTCCCTTGTCTTTTTAGATGAAAAATCTTTGCCTAAGGAGGCATCTCACCTATGCTCAGTTCTGCGAGACATAAACCCCCTTGGTTGAAACACCCATCTTTTTCAGCTTGCAAGAGCTCTGACCCTTTGTATCTGTCCAATGATGGATAGCATGATGAGTTCCTTTCTCTACTTATATTACCTTCCCAAACTCATCTTTTTGTCCCCAGACTCAAGATGACCTCATGCTGTTCTTCTCTTCCTGTGGACATTGCACCCCCCTGATGAGTCATATGTAAATGGGGCTTCCATTATTCTGATTCCACAATGCTACCCTCCCTCCAGTCTGAGGGAAAATCTGTTTCTCCCCATGTTTGATCACAGACTTTAATGCATAATATCTCTGAGTATCCATATTTCCTCAATGTGGCTTAATACAGACATTTCACAATGACATTAACCACCAGTGTGTCATTAGGTTTCATAAAATACTTTACCTGATACACTTTTATAACACATCAATTTTGTATGCAACCAGTTGATTCAATTACTTATGATTTGAGGTTCAGACCCCTGTCTTTACAGCTCTGACAAAGTTTCTCTCTCCTGCTGGGTTGTAGATGCCATGCTATCTTCTCCCCGACTTGATAGCTTTGTTTACCTTATATGTAAATAGACCTTCATTATCATCTGCCTGATTACCAGGCTGGACAGATAAATACACATTCCTTTGTCTAAGGCAGACTGTGCTTATGCATTGCTTGCCAAACACATTTTAAGAACATAATTCTAGCACATATCCCTAACTCTTTGTATACACCTCAGACATACATCGAGCAAGAATATTAATGATCAGGGAGCATTTTCCAGTGATACATTACATGCCACCTTTTGGGCATATGCCATAATGACAGTGTCGTAGGTGTGTTGAGCATGTCAGGTCTGACAAGAGTTGTTAACATAGTAGTGAACCACCAAAAGGCCTTTGTGTCACAGTGGACTTTTTCAAAAGCTAGCAGTACTGTCCTAACTTCCTTTTCACTGGAGTCAATGCGGGTTGATTGCAAAGGAAGCAGACAATAACTATACAGCAAATTGATCTATAGAACTGAGGAATAGCCTTCAAAAATGAAGTCACCTTCTTGCTAGCCAACATTTAGAACTGGACTGAACGAATGCTACAAAATATATGGTAGAATACTGTTCTGCATTGCTCCCTGGGATACAGATGGTCTACAGCAGTGGTTCCCAAACTGGGGTTTGTGAACTCCTGGGGGTTCGCAAAATGTTACAGGGGAGTCTCGGGAAAAAAATCCCTAATGGCAGACAGCGTTGTCCCTAGGGACCCGGACCCCAGGCACCATGGGGCCAGCAGCCCGGAGCCCCTGGACTTCCAAGAGCTAAGCAGATCAAAGGAAGCATATCTACCACACTCAGGAGATTTAAACTTCAAGACTCCATATAAGAAATGGAAAGGGAGGTGGATATTTTTTGCTGTTTTAAAAATTAAATAGGCTGCTAGTATAGTTTTAAAAATTATTATGAAGAACAAGTTTAAGCTTTGTTGTAACGTGCATTGTTTGCCTGGACTGCTCAAGACCTGAATGCTTTTGTAGGAGAAACTCTTTAAGTTGGCTTCTTAGATACCTTCATGCTGGTTTCACATCTGATACTCCTTGATGAAACATAGCAGCCTTGTCTTATAACAGGCTTATTCAAAGTGATACAAGTTACGAAAGTGAGATCTTGGAAGAGTGCTGCCGTTTTCATAATGTAATAAAAATACTATAATGATTAATAATAATAAATAGTGTGTAATAAGCATGGCATCAAAACTTACCTCAACTTCTTTCCCTGGTATTTTCAACCAGCTTGGCTGAGATCTCTTTCATGAAGCAAAACCAGCTGTCAGTTTATTTCGTAGGTGAAGGATGCCAGGGTTTCTCTCTGCGCTCCTAAATATACCAGAACAGACCTTTGATATTCATGTCAAAATAGGGTGTCTGCCCCCCACCTTCCCTATCTCTCGTTTACCTCTTCTTGTTAATTTCCTCTCTTTGAAGATTTCACTATCCTTCATTAGCATTCAACTCAGATTGAGTTAGCAGGCTAAGGTAAGCCCTAGGCTCCCCAATAAACTTTGTTTCAAACTGCAACTCATGTTAAATAATTACCCCCACCTTGTCTTCAATTGGATTTTTCCTTATGTTTGTTACTATCTCTCTTAGTTATTTATATAACCCCCACCACTGCAGTACCTGAGCACCTCACAATCCTGGATAGGTTGATTCTTACAACCGCTGGGAGGGAGGGTGGTGCTGTTATGCCCATTTTACAGATAAGTAACTGGGGCACAGAGAGACTAAGGGTATGTCTATACTGCAAACACACCCTGTGACTGTGATGAGACATAGTCCAAGTGACTCAACAGTGTCACAGAAGAAGTCTGTAGCAAAGCAGGGAATTAAACCAGGTCTCCCGAGTCCCAGACTAGCATCTCAGGCCATGTCTGCACTAGGAGTACTTTACCTGTTTAAGGAAACTGATGCAGGTATAATATACTGGCAAAGCACTCCTAGTGTGGACACAGCTTATACCGGGGAAACTGTGCTTTTACTGGTAGAACTTATTCCACCCTCCACCCCCAGTCCTAAGCAAAACAAGCGATACCAGTAAACACGCCGTTTTCCCAGTATAGCAGTGTTTACACTAGGGGCTATTGTCAGCACAGCTATGTTGGTCAGAGATCACACCCCTTCATACCCCTGGCCAGCACAGCTAGACCAGCAGACACTTGTAGTGTATACCTGATCTCGGATACCATGTTAGGCAACATGTGGTAAGGAAATGTGGTTTTCCTAGTGAAGACATACCCAAGGACCAGCCCCTCGGTGCCATTAAGGCTCGCTAAACACCGATTTTGAGGGTTTAAGTGGTGCCTAAGTCTTGCCCAAGCCCTCAGCACAGCGATGAATTTCGCTCTACATGAGTAAAATCTCCCACTGTGATTCAAATGCAAGGAGACTAGGGAAATGTGTACACAGCATCGGAGACATGTAATCACCATCTCAGAGAGATGAACAAGTGTTCGTTGGGATTGACCCAGTACCTCAATATAGCAGTGTACGACCCATGGAGGCATGGGCAGCAGCTGCCCTGAGGACAATCCTGCCCAATCCCTTGGTTATATACTCGACAGGCCAGCCCTCGCTGTTGCATGTGCCACTGCAGCCACACTGCTATTTTTAGACCTTAAGTCAAGCAGTGCTAGCGCGTGTATGTCTACCTGCACTGAGAATTACACCTTCTAGCTTCTGCCTAGACATACCCTAAGTGCAATTGATTCATAGCCTCCTATTGCACCTATATTCAGAAGGGGCTATATACATATTATTGGACTAGCTGTAATATGTGACTCTTGTTTGGAATACTCCGCTTTTTAAAAAGTTCAGCATGACGCGAGTTAGCTTACCAGCTGTGCATTTCACCGCCCCATCCCCAACACAGAGATCCAAAATCGCCCGTTTATCAAATATGTATCTAAATCATACTCCACTGTGAGATCTGAAAAGGAATTTCCATTCTTATAAATGTCCCCCTTGTGGGACATTACCATCTGTTCTGATCACCGTAAAGGCTCCCTGTCTCCTCCTAGTCCAAACCCACTGAAGCATTTATTTAATGACTCTAAAACAAAAGGCTGGAGCCTTTCCGGTCTTAATTTATACACAAATATATAACCAATTAGAAGGTAATTGTGAAGAATCCAGCTGATAATGGAATGCCTTCTGCAACCTGATCTGGAGCCTTGCTACCGTGACGTTAAATTACTTAATATACCCTTTAATTTGTCTCAGTTTGCACTGGCAGAATGGGAACTGCTGACTACACAGTTTTTTCACTGAAAACTGTGAGGGGAGGAGAATATTGAGAGATTCCTTCCGCCGCCTATCCACTTTGTGCATCAGTTTCCTTCCTCAGTCCCACCTGTGTAAAACTCAGAGTATGACTCCATTAAAGCAAATGGAGTTATAGTCCAGATTCATACCAGTGTAACAGAATTTGGATCAGTGCCTTTCAAACACACCAAAAATACAAACTCCAAAACAGCTGATCATTGCAAGCGGCCTGCCGCTTATATTCTTGTACGGCTGCCAACTTGAGCTGGATGAACTGTTTCCCAGCAAACGATTTATCCATTGGATTAAGAACAATTTTCTGGTTTGTAAATGGTTCATGATAAGATCATGATTTCAAGGAATATTTCTGCTGTGCAAACTTATTCATGGAGATGCAGATTCTCCACCTCTGTCTTGCAGGTGCAGTGGAGTGGGGGGGGAATTCCAGGAACCAGTTGCTGGTCTCGAACCCTCAGCCACCTGGCCTTGGGGTAAATTAGAGCTACACAAGAGCAGCTTTAATTTATGTCAATGGAGAATTGGGGGGAATCAGAGCTAGGCTCGACCATGGCTCTGTCTCTTACCAAGGCATAGGACTTGCTCCTGAATGTTCTCCCTCCTTTTACTTCAGGGATGGGGTATGACTGGTGTGGAAACTGCCTCTGTGGGCTTTCCTCCAGCAGGGGGTTCCTATTAGGCAAAAGGAATTTCCCTTTGCTTTAAGGCCGCTTAGCGCTTTATGCACTGAGTAGTTAGAGAACTGGAAAATCCGGCCCCAAATGCTGTATGGGAATGTATTTCAGCTTTTGACTCACTCAAGATCTGTTCACTATAATCAGTACTGCTTCAAGTGTTCAACATTTGCAGCCTGGGCCCCTTTGACCGGCCATGTCGCTATTGTTGTTCCTTGAATAGATGAACAGAACTCTGAGAATGGGGTTTCCAGGGTAAATTTCTACCTATAGTTTTTTACCTTACAATTTCACCTTGAAACCCCCACCAATATCACAGCCCCATTGCGCTAGGGGCTGTTTACACACATCATAGAATCTCCTGAGGTCCCCTAGTCCAACCCCCTGCTCAAAGCAGGGCCAATCCCCAGACAGATTTTTGCCCTAGATCCCTAAATGGCCCTCCCAGAGATTCAGCTCACAACCCTGGGTTTAGCAGGCGAATGCTCAAACCACTGAGCTAACCCTTCCACATAATCAGAGACAATCCCTGCCCCCAAAAGCTTATCATTGAAATAGAGACGACAGGTGGGAGGAGTCTAATTTAGCTGTTACCACTCAAGAGAGAGATCTTGGAGTCATTGTGAAACATCCACTCTGCAAACATCCACTCAATGTGCAAGGGCAGTCAAAAAAGGAAACAGAATGTTGGGAATCATTAAGAAAGGGATAGCTAATAAGACAGAAAATATCATATTGCCTCTATATAAATCCATGGTACACCCACATCTTGAATACTGTGTGCAGATGTGGCCGTCCCATCTCAAAAAAAGATGTATTGGAATTGGAAAAGGTTCAGAAAAGGGCAACTAAAATTATTAGGGGTATGGAACGGCTTCCATCTGAGGAGAGATTAATAAGACATGGACTTTTCAGCTTGGAAAAGAGACAACTAGTGGGGATATGATAGAGGTCTATAAAATCATGACTGATGTGGAGAAAGTAAATAAGGAAATGTTACTTACTCCTTCTCATAACACAAAAACTAGGGGTCACCAAATGAAATGAATAGGCAGCAAGTTTAAAACAAACAAAAGGAAGTATTTCTTCACACGAGGCACAACCTGTGGAACTCCTTGCCAGAGGATGTTGTGAAGGCCAAGACTATACCCGGGTTCAAAAAAGAACTAGATAAGTTAATGGAGGATAGGTCCATCAATGGCTATTAGCCAGGATGGGCAGAAATGGTGTCCCTAGCCTCTGTTTGCCAGAAGGTGGGAATTGGCGATGGGGGATGGATCACTTGATGATTAGCTGTTCTGTTCATTCCCTCTGGGACACCTGGCATTGGCCACTGTTGGAAGACAAGATACTGGGCTAGATGGACCTTTGGTCTGATGCAGTATGGCCGTTCTTATGTTCTTATCAGGGGAAGCACAGAGAGGTGAAGTGACTTTTCCCATAACGAGGAATCTCTCATTATTCTCTCCCCCTCTCCACAGTTTTCAGTGAACAACTGAGTATGTAGCAGCTTCCATTTTGCCAATGGCCAAGTGTCTTATCACCCAGCCCGTCAATGGAAAAGCTGGAAACAGAACCCAGCTCCCCTCACTGCAAGTCGGTACCATGCTGCCCCTCCACTTACCCAGCTTCATTTATCAGGGCTTGTCAAATTTCGACCACCAAGTTGTGTCAAAATTTCACATTTAGATTAAAAAAAAAGAGCTGAAAAAAAAGGGATGAAATATTTGTGATGTTTTTCAACTGGCTTTGGTGACTATAATAATAATAATAATTAATGGAGATATCTCATCTCCTAGAACTGGAAGGAACCTTTCAAGGTCATTGAGTCCAGCCCCCTGCCTTCACTAGCAGGGCCAAGTACTGATTTTGTCCCAGATCCCCAAGTGGCCCCCTCAAGGATTGAACTCACAACCCTGGGTTTAGCAAGCCAATGCTCAAACCACTGAGCTATCCCTGCCCCCCCGCTAGAACAGAGCACAGTCTGGCTGAAGTTCTGCTGCTCCTGGAGACTGAAATTTACCTCTATACGCTGGGCCAGCGTCAGATCCGTGGCACCACCACCTATGTCCTACTGAAGCTCTATCTTGGGGACAGACGTGATGCACAGGCCTCATCCTGGGCCTCTGTACCGGGTGGGATCCCAGCCCATAATAAGCAGAGATCTGCCAGCTGCTTGTCTTCAGCCTTTAAAAAACAAACAAACATAAGACGGGCCTTACAATTGCTTCGTGGTGCATAACAAAGATACAGAAATGAGGGGGCTTCTCTTGGAATGTGTAATAATTTTAGTACCCATAGTATATTTTTAACATGCTTCAAGGACACTTAGTAGATAATGTTTTCACCCCTCAGCTC